TCTGTATCTGTTTACCTCATATATTGCATATAAAGATATAGGGCAAATAAATCACAGTTAGTCAGTAAGAGCAGTATAAAGGTGGAAATATTTGCCAGAGAAGTTCATATGGGAAAAGAAAGGACAGGAGTGAATGGAATTGAAATTCAAGAATACATCCCACTAAAGTAACAATCATTTATCAGGGATAGAATCTGCTAATATTAGCAGCTATATATTCAAGGATAGTGAAAGGGGTGGACCCAAGAATGAGATACAAGTACAGAGATTTATTCTGGCAACAACGCTGATAAGATAGAATTCTAAAGTAATGAAAATAACAGTAATATTTGACAAGCTGACAAATACTACAATGGATAGTTGCAAAAATACCCCTGGTTTATATGTCCTAATTACTTCACTCCTACTACAGTTACGATTTTCTTCACTTATTTCCAAACAAGAGTGCCAACCTTGTACCCTTAATCCACAAAATGTTTCGGTATCGAGCATCTGAGGATTTTTCTTTACGCCTGTCTGGACCTTCTGAGTAGATGGTCGATCGTTCTAGTAGACAGTACAACTTGTGTCGTGTACAAAGCTAATTCATATACACAATTAGATTTGTGGATGTTCTGTCTTAACTAAATCGTCACAAATACATAATCTCGAGCAATTTCAGACTCTCAACTTGTTTTTTCTGTTTCATTTACTGATACTGATCGCTTAAAAAGTCGTTTCCAGACTTAAGTGTCATAAGACAGGGTTCTCTGAATGAATGATAATAATTTAGGTTAATATTACATTGGGTTCCTCCACAAGTACTGGTAGAAGATTAAACATAAATTGCAGGTTTAGAGATTTCAGACTGCATAAAATGAAATAATTTCAAACTTTTCCTCCATAAAATTGGGTCCAGCTTCCAAATCAAAATAATTGAAGTTAAACTGTCCATATTTTATAGCACGAGGAGATCGTCACTTTTAGTATCCTTCTTTTATTGAATTGCTAAAGGCACATTTAAACAATGTAATTCGTCCAGTGAATTATGTTATCTACTTCAATCTAAGCAATAACAAAGAAATTTCAGCCCAAATATTCGATTTCTACAGATAGGCCTGAAAGGTAGCGCCTAATTCTGATGCGTTTTGAATCGCCGTACTTATTGACTTCACACAAATTCACATTCTAATCAAAAATCATTAATTTAGTACCATGTTCTACTTTTATCAACTAAACTGACACGTTATGCATGAATAGTGGAAGTAGCAGTTGCATAAGGTTTCAGACTATTGGTTGAGGTACTTCAAATGTTAGAAATTGACAAGTGAATACTGTCAGAGTTATGGGCCGAAGTAAATCACAAAATCGCAAACATACAGAATACGTTATCTTATGAACGTCAGATATTCCTTCTCCGTGCGAAATACCTTTTGTTCATTGTGTTATTGGACATTGACGCGCCTTTCTCATATACATAGGTAAAGTGAATATTATTAGAGCTATACTGTGTCAGTTTCTCAACAGGTTTTAATTCCAAGTTAATTGATGGATGGTGACAAGCAGTGGAATCTAGGATCCGCATTTCGTCCTATCTCGGACTCATCAGCGTTTGCAATTTATCCAGTCACATGAAATTTTAAAATCTGGCCAATTTAAGATTCATTAGATGACTTCGTTAAATAAATAATTAAAACGCCCAGCCGAATTCCAGAACTGAGATCTTCATACAACGAGCGGTCTTGTAATCGAAATGACGTGATAAGAATGACTTTCTATTCTAGACATTTATTCCTGTCACTCAGCAGCTGTCGAATATTCACCACAAAACTGAAAGACTTTTTACCTGATCTCGGCCATTTGAACAGTTCGTGCGGCTTAGGCTTTATAGGGCCTCCGATAAGGCAGGTTCTACGGAATAGAGTGTCCAAGTTTCTATCAACCTCATTCAACAGCTGGCTGGCTATATGACAATGCTACGTGTCAGGTGATCCACAATGGATACTCAGTGAGGTGTTCGAAATGAATACAGGAGTAAGAAAAGCTGGCTGCCTGCGTATTATCACTCACGATGATATTCTTAATTGTGGTGGACTCGATTATACGTCAGACTGTGCATTGGGAGTGAGGAGACAGGAATACTCTGGACCACTGATAAGAAGACTCCAGAATATTCGGATTTCGCGCGTGGATGTTTAATGTCACACAAACTCAAAGACTTACATGAGGGCGAAAACCAACAAACTGGCTGACTGAAGAAGTAGCCAGTGAAGACAGGATTGCAGGTGAACATAGAGAAGGTGGAGGCGGAGATGATAAAGATAATCAACCCACCAACCAAACAACAGCAACAGCGGCAACAACCAGCACCAATCACCATCAGTAGGAGAGATTTGAATGAGATTATTTCCTTCCTTCACTTATCTAGGATATCACCGTTTCAACTACAGGTATGCCTCATGGATGAAGATGTCGAAGCCAGCCAGTGAGAATCGGAAAGGCGAGATACTCACGCCTTCAACGACCTGAAATCAGTTTGGAAATCTTCTGCACTACACTCAGTCAGCATAAACAACAAGGTGGTGATTTTCAACACAAGTGTGAAGTCAATCAGTCCTTCTATACTGGTCAGAAACTTGCAATGAGTGTCACGAGGAGGATTTCCAACATGCCGCTGCAGACTTTCATCAACAGCTGCACCCTTCACTGGCTGTTCCCATACTGAAGATGAAATGACCTGATAACCAGAAATAATTAACCACAAGAAACTCTGGCTGAGAACAAACCAACAGGCGAGAGCTGTTTGCCCAACAAATATGTGGGAGAGAATGCAGATGGATTGATTGGGCATACACTGAGGAGACCGTCGAATGACATCGTGCGCAATGCAGGTCATCGCCGGAGTGGAATCCGAATGGAAGTGACGAGTGGGTCGTTGGTACGACGGTGACACGGAGTAGGTCGTGTGTGGTGTAGGAGATGAGAGATTATGGCCAATCGTGGACTCAGTTGAAGAGGACGGTAGAAGATAGGACAAAGTGGAGATGTGTTATTGAAGCCCTATATTCCACACAGAAGCAGAGGGAATAATCATGATTCTGATGTATTTGAATAGCCTAGTAAAATGTCTTTCACCTCCAGTCGTTTTAGTGCCATTTACTACACTCCGTAGTCATTATAATGCACATTTCGTGTACATAAAGCTGAAGTCGTTGTGATGAGTTCCATGAAGTCGGGACGTTTTATTCAAAGAGAACACATTGAGATGTAGTTCTTAATATGATGAAAAGCTTCTTCCTCGCTTCCAAAGTGTTTTTCTTATTTTTATTTTCCGTCTCATCTAAACAGTTCTAGTCACCGTCTTATATACACATCCTTCATTATGACATTCTTAATACAATATCGAGTTCCCTATAAAAACAGACACTGATAGGCTATTCTGACTTATTAGTGATATTTCTTCTCATTACTTCACTTCACATATTGCTTATTACTGATGGACTATTCACCAAAGTCTCACTATCTTCTGTTTATTGCATACTGTCTTTGTACAAGCTACTCACCAAGCTCATTTTACAACCTTGAACTAACTTGACAATTTTCTTTCTCATCATTGTACGAATGTGTTATGATTATTCATTATTTTCATTCATCTCAGCCCAACATGTCTGTCACACAAGTACTATTCATTTTCTTAACCCTATAAACAATGCCTGATTCTACGTGAAAATATATCAGCCCAGTGACTACGCCTTATTGCAATTATGACAAATACTTTCATTTATCGCTATAAGAATCTGAAGAGAATTCATTCAAAAGAGTATCCTCTGTTCAAACTGACTTTCAAATCGGACAATGCTGCCGTATTTCCAATACCATAAATTAGAAGATCAGCTAATTAGCTTTATTTCTTGATCTCATTCTATCATCAGACTGATATATTTTCCCCAAAAAGGGCATTTACACGGTACAGCCAAAATACTAAATCTCACAAATAAGTACACATACAGCACCGATCTACTTTTATCTGGAATATCTTGACAGCCTGTAATTTGTCGATAATATCGACTTTTAAGTAAAAAAAGATGAATTAACACTTTGCCTTACTTTTTATTTCATGACTTGTATTTCGTTCTCCCCTACCATGCGACGGGTTTTTCACTGATTGGCAATTTATTTTTCTCTCGTACATACATTCCAGTAGTTTATTTACTGATAGCTGAGATTCGGTTCATTGATTGGTTTTACTGAGTCACTTAGGATTACATCGACTCAGATGGTTAGGACATGTGTTACGTATGCGCCTAGCCATCGCCTTCCTCAACCGACGGGCAATGTTAGCTGACATAGGGTCAGGTTGGAAAAGAGCTAGCGGTGGTCAAACCAAAATATGGCTTCATCAGTCAATGAAATCTACAACAGTTAGTTTAAGCCAGTCACGTAGGAAGGTATAGACTTCCTGGTTGGGGTCTTCAGGACAGTGAACACCCATGGCTGAAGACAATTGGTGATATGGCTCAAAATCGTTCTCAATGGCGTAGATGCATACACTCCTTGTGACTTACAATATCCAATAAAACTATATTGTTCTTAAACATTATTATTTTTTGGCCTTATACCTATGTTTACTGTCTCTATTTTGCATTTCATTTTATTTTCTTGTCTTGTTTTGTGTGCTACATGGAGTGTGGCGGCTTGAACTGCTGCACATCGGTGCAAAGTTCTATGTTGGAACCAGTCGGTCAGTCAGTCAGTAAAATTACACTAAAAACATAATAACATACAGCTCAGAATGTGCAGTTATAACTAAATAACAACATAGTTGGCCAGCCTAACGACAATGTCTCAAGTCACCTGTCTGCTTTTAATCTTGAAATAATTTGTGTGACCATTTTAATCAAAGCAACTCGTGAGTACCTTTAATATGCATCAAACAAATATAGATCGTAGTTATATACAATGCTGCCCAATCGTATTGATTTTATATCTTCGTTACCAAAATAAAAGAGGATAACAGAGTAGTACAGTAAAATAATTTATTCATTCATTGGTCATTATAGGTTAGATTACTTGATACAAATCAGTAAACAGACATTTAAAATCACACAATAAGAGGGAATGATTTGAAAGGAGGACAAAGAGGAAGGAGGGAAGGCACAATGATTGCAATAATAAAAAGACATCACAAAATGATATAATCTATGAAGTTTATGATTCAAGCCATGAACGGATTGTTTGTACTTCTATTTGACGAACCTGACGTGCTGATGGAGGATCATTGGGATGCGGTGACCTATAAACATTCAGATAAGAAGAGAAATATATGCTCTCAATTACAATGAGTTACAAAATTGCAGCTTAGCAAGAAGCGGGATAAAACCTTCAGGTGAATCGTCACAATTGGAGTTAGTGCGTAATATGTAATGTTACGAAGATGATCAAACTAATGTAGACACACACACACACTTCCACTGGAAATAAATATAACAGTCTTTATAGCATTGCACAGCAAGCTCAACCATTGATTTACTACTTAAATTAGAGGTATTGTACAAGAAAAAATTAGTTTCACCAGATGCAAATATGAGAAATAAATACACAACTTGCCTTAAATCTAAGTGATGAGCACCGCCATCTAATACCAATGAAATAACCTTCTCTGACTGGTCAGTCAAAATCTGCAAATTATTAAAAGTAAAACATAAGACAAATTCAGACTTTATTTGAAAAAAGCATAAAAATTCCATATTAGATAAGTTTATTTCAAATAACACACATTCATGCAATATTAATAAGTGGATGACAAGGTTTCGAGCACAAACTACTGCTCATAATCATATCAATTTAGTCTAAGTCTAGTTTCTAGGTCTAGATTATCGGAGCATATGATTTAAGCTAGACCCTGAATGAATGACCCTGTTAAGTTAAATAACCTTGAAAAAAAGCTCAACCATTGCATTGTATTTATTTGTATTTGACAACATAATAGGGTGGGACAGGACAAAAGTATTGAATGGTAATATAGTTAGCTGGAGAGAAAGAGAGAGATTGATCATTATATTTTTGTTTATCGATTGAACACAGCACACGTGCAGTCGAAATGACGCAATGCATATACGGGAGATATGGAAAGTGGCAACAAACAACAACGGGAAGGGAGAGGGAGGAAAACGTATATAAGGTAAATCATGAAGCCATGGGACTAACTGATATGATTACGAGCGAAAAATCCTGCTCGAAACGTTATCCAGTTATTTCAAATAAACTTATCTAATATGAAATTACATTCTATCATAGTGCCGAAGTTCTACGCTTACATTAAAAGCATATAAATTCTATAAAAAACCGTGAAAAGAGATTTAATAAGACATTGATCAAGTGATAAATATTCTCGGATGGATATTACCCTACAAGCAGTATGATTGACAATTAAAAAATATTTGACAATACTGAGATATGTTTAAGGGAGAAGCTTTCTTTCTTTTTTTTTTCCTTTACGTTTCCCAGAGGAACATAGGGCTTCAAGCTAGTGGCTTAAAGTTTCTGTAGCAGTGCTTATTTTACAGGATGGGGTTGCTAGCCTTATGCCCAACCTTTCCTCTTCACCAGCATTAAATCTAGCTTAGAGAGGTAAAGAAGTGCGTCGGCCGGAGATCGAACCTCGCAACATGTGCATGGTCGGCGAGTGTCCTAACCACTATGCCACCGACGCAGGGAAGGGAGAAGCAATTTCTGTTAATTTCTACCGAAAAGCTGCTTATTTGTCCTGAAGCTATGCATACAATATATATATGTATATATATATATATATGTATATATATAGTGTGTTATGGAATGCTTGTCCACTCTACAAGATTTCAGGATACAATATGTTGAAAATAATTGATGTTAACAGAAAATGGGACAGAGTTAGCATTCAGTTAAGCACAAAACAGATGGCTCTTCCTCTGAAAATCTCTTAAAATTCTCCTTTATATTGTTTAGGGAAAAAAGGCAGTATACTGTGATGTTTCTAAAAGGTTTGCAGAATTCTTAACAAGGCAGGAAAAAAAGTGGCATTCTAACCCACAAACTCAATTAGAAACATGATTTGTCGGTTAAAGGATCCTGCCTGTGGAGCCTTTAAAACAAAACAATTTAGTTTATCTAATACTCTGCAATGATTGTCAGGTCAAATACATAGGTCAAACTAGTAGAACAGGGGCAGTCAGGCTAGCCGAACATAAAAACCTAGCAAAATCTAGAGTGGTTGACCGAAATAAGATAAGAAATCTGAAAAATTCTACTACCCCTATGATGAATAGGAGAGAACAAAGGAAACTAGAAAACTCAAGTTTCGAAGTCGTGTGATTATGACTAATATGATTATGATCAATAAATTGTGCTCGAAACGTCATCCAGTAAATAATACTGCTTTACTGTGTGATACATCTAATAAACAAACTAATATGGAAATACTTACTACCACAGTGCCCAAGTTCAACATATATATTAATATACCAAACCTTTTATTGTTCCAGTTAATAGTCATTTATTAGTGTCATGTTATGGTCTGACCACTTATAACTTTTCGCAAACCAATTTCATTTTAGCTAAGATTGATCTTACAAAGACGCGCTGAGATAGGTATATATAAAGTGTTTCAATCGTCTCCGTTGATAACGATTCACAAAATTAAAAGGTTACTTTCCTTTCTTAGTTAGCACAGTCTAAACATTTTTTGTTCTATAGTTCAATATCACGTGAGGAATATGACTAAAATATTGCCGGTCAAGGTCTTTTAATCGCCTAATATACTTCACTTACGACGGCTTCACCTTGTAACCATACATTAGACAAAGTAGAGGAGACTATCAAGTGAAACACAGGCGTGCACATACACAAACACTATATTCATATTCATATAAGATAATATGAGCTGGGTGACTATAAACTATTCAACAGAAAGCGAAGTTAATCACGAACATTATCATAAACTAATAAGTTTCCAATGTGCTTTCACCGTAAATGCAAACCTACAATATTTGTCAGCTTATGACGACTAATCACACTTCTCAAAGGCAGATTTCTCGTCAGATCGAACAGTGCAGTTTGCTTTTATCAATGTGCTGTTAAAACTCGTACAGGTTTTACACAACAAATCAGAAAATGACAAAGTGATAGAGTAATCTGTAAAAAATTATATTTGTAATATCTCAGCGATATTGAAATGAGTAATTCCAACGTTTCGTTCGGCAATCTGGTCCGAACTTCTTCAGGGAAATTAATCAAAATTAACATAACAGAGGTTTTTATATACAAAAGGCACATCTTTTTTATATTACAAATATAATTTTTTACAAATGTCTACTTCTCACTCGGCGCCCAAATATTTTAGAACTATTCGGTCAAATCTTGACGACAGTTCATTTGAATGATAGAGTAATCGTTCCCGTTACCAGAATTCTTAGGTAGTTTGAAGATGTTCTTCTTATCTAACTTACAGTCTACTTTACGTGAGTAGCGTAATTTACCAGACTGTATATAGTGTTGAAGGGCAGTAAGATTGATGCAAATCATTGAAGACAAATATTAGCAGTTTGAAATAAAGTGTCTTTCATTATTTATGATAAAGTAAAGAACGGATGATTCACAGACATGTCAATGAAATCCAAAGCACAGAATAATACGTGTAACAAACAACCACATCAACCTTGTTGTAAAATTCCTTAGATTAACATTTTTCTTATTCTCTAGACAATACTATGTGCATTTTAAGCACGTTAAAGATTTTTAAGAAGATAAACTTGATTAGACCATATATTTAAGAATGTCATTACTCAAAATCTACCAATATTTAGTGTTGCTATTCTTCGATAGTCATGCATACCCTTGAGAGTTAAATACCATTTCATAATGACTAAATTTACTCAAATCAACTGTGAATGAAATTGCATAGACAGGTATTTAAATTACTAAAATAAAATCTATTAAAATCAAAAACACATTTGACAAGCAAATAATAAGTTGAAATCTACTAAGATATAATGAATATAGATAATAAAAAGATTGTCAGTAATTAAAGCTGAAATGATACAAAAAGCGCACTTACTCCACCACCCATCCAAGGATCTAAATTTCCATTTGAAAATATGATATTAGTTGCAGTCTTCCATACTGAAAAGTACGTTCAATAAAAAGAAAAAAAATTACTCAGCATGCAAAGTAGTTTTCCGAAATATACATTAGTAGACAAACAGGATGGCAATAAGCGCAACTTCAAGTGTTAGTTTGCAGGGATTTAATTGGTTACAGGTTCGATCAGGAGTTGACATCAGTTAGAGAACCATTGGAAAGCCTGGGAGTACTGGATAGCTGTTTCGCCCCAGCTTGGGACTGTTCATCTGAACGCTCCACTGAGATCATTCAGCCACCGGGACCCAATTTATTGGCTCATGAATCCAAACTTCCGCCAATTTACGATATGCATAGTGCAACCACTAGCCAGTGTCATAGGAGAGTAACTGATCTCTTACCTGACTTGATGGATCCCACTGGTACGAATGATGTTGACTGATGTCAACTTCTGACCAGCCTGTAAGCCAATACTCGATAATTAATTTGATGCTCACTAGCGACTGTAGGTAATCATCTGGAGTTCCAGTGAGAAGGTGTAACCAGCGCCGTTCACCAAGTCAGGTTAGAGATCAATCACTCGCCTATGACATTGTCTTGCGGTTGCACTATATTTGTCGCGAATTAATAGGGGTTGGAATTCACGGGGCCGATGGATCCAGTCCCGGTGGCTGAATGATGTACGAGCTCGCTTTGTAGCGGGAAGGTCCTTGGTTCGGACTTCAATACGGGCGCGCTGATGACGGGTTCAGAACTGGGACGAAGCAGCTATCCAGTGCTCTCAGGTTTTCCAATGGTTCTCTAACTGATTCCAACTCCTGGGCATCACAGAAAGAAAAACACCCTAAGAAGGCATTATCAAGACCGACAGTAGTTATTCAGATTTTGTAATTCCTTGATACCTGGTTACAATAAACCGAATTTATTACCTTGTGTTGGCAAAAATATATTCTTGAATGGTTAATATAATGCTAACACGATTGTTACTTTGTTCAGTCACTACCAGCATTGTAATCCTAAATGAATCTTACATCCAATTTATAAATCACTAGTCGGATTTATCTGCATCTGTGTGAGTGATAGGGTCTCCATTGCAACTTTAATACAGTACGCAGAACACTATTCTTAACATAAAATCATCATCTACTACAAGACCGGCAAATTATCACAGAAATATCCTATCCGTATTAACTATTATTATTGTTGCTAGGATTTTCCAGTGTTCAAGACCACGCGGAACATTGAAGTTTGAAGTTAATGCTGAAGTTTTAGTGGATGCAAGCACAAAATAAAATACAGGCGAATACAGTTGCCAAGAGTGAAATAGGATGAAATACGCGTTGTGAACTCATCTGTTGAAAGCCAATAAACAATAAATGGCTGATATTATGATTTATCGGTTAAACTAAAACAGTTTTATATTCATACAGTGCTAATCTCATGCTACATAGCATAGTCAATTGTGGGCTTACAAAATTGAAATGTACTTCTCTTTGCGAAGTATCAATTTCGGTTGTTGTGGTTGTTATCATTATCACTACTAGTAGTTACATTTAACAAATATTTTACACTCACCACCTTACTGCATGAATAAGGAAAGAAGACTCATGATTTTAAACAAAGTTTAGTGCTTTAGCTAAAGAGTAATACACTAATACGTGATCCTGTTAAACGATAGTAATTCAGCTGCGATCACCGATTAGAACTAAAAGCATTTGAGGTATGCGCTTGACTGCGAATAATGTAATATTGAATTCGACTTTTTCTAAAAATCACTGTGATTTAGCGACGATACAACTTACATCTAGTAAATGCGCACAAACAACTATTTTCGGTTACTGCATATACAGCATTGAAGAAAATCATGACATAAGAGGAGCCGTTACGTAGAAAAACATTAACAAACCTATCTGAGAGTGTGTAACTGTGTCACTGAATATAGTTCTTCAAAGGATGAATCAAGTTTGAAAATTGCACAATCTGGGCTATCGTTTCGTTAAAATGGTAGCCCTGTAAGTTATTTATCCACCTGATATACTTTCCCTAGTGTATCCTGTAATCTATTTAATTTTTTCCCAAACACTGTCTTCAAGGAAAATATTCTTAGGAGATTTTTATCAATCTCATATCAACAGGAGTCTGTTTCAGTAAATTTGAGAATAAAAAGTAGCCAGCCAAGAAAGTATGTAATTCTGACAAAACTAGATCATCTAAAAATCCTGTTTATTATTATTCTCTTGTGTTCCGAGTGGAAAATGGGGCTTCAACAACACATCTCCACTTTGTTCCATTTTCTCCTGTCCTCTTCAATTTGGGCCCCGATTCACCATAATCTCTCATCTCCTCCACCACACACGATCTCCTACATGTCACCCTCGTACCAACGACCCACTTGTCGCTTCCGATTCGGATTCCACTCGAGTGGTGGCCTTCATTGAGCACGCTGTCATTCGACGGCCTCCTCAATCTATGCCCGATCCATCCATCTCCATTCTCTCCCACATATTTGTTGAGCAATCGGCTCTTGGTTGGTTTGTTCTCAACCAGAGTTCCTTGTTACTAAGTCTTTCTAGCTAGCTGGTCATTTCATCTTCAGTATGGGAACAGCCAGCCAAGGGGGCAGCTGTTGATAAAAGTCTGCAGTAGCGTATTGAAATCCTTTTCGTGACACGCATTACAAGTTTCTGACCCGTGTAGAACTCATAGACTTGACATTTGTGTTGAAAATTCGAACCTTGTTCCTTATGCTGACTGAGCGCAGTGCAGAGGATTTCCAAACTGGTTTCAAGTTGGTGAAGGCGTACTTATCTCGCCTTTCCGATTCTGACTGGCTGACTATGATATCTTCATCCATGAGGCATACCTGTAGTTGAAACGATGCTTCCTAGATAAGTGAAGGAAGGAAGTATCCTCACTGAAATCTCTCCCACTGATGGTGATTGGTGCTGGTTGTTGCTGCTGTCGCTGTTGTTTGGTTGATGGATTGGTTATCTTCATCAAATCCGTCTCCCCCTTCCTTTATTCACCTGCAGTGTAATCCTCGCTGCCTGCTTCTTCAGTCAGCAAGTTTGTTGGCTGTCGCCTTTCTACAAGTCTTCAAGTTTGTGTGACATTAGATATATATCATCCACGCGCGAAATCGTAATCTTCTCAAATCTTCTTATCGACCAGTGCAGCGTATTCCTATCTTCTCACTCCCAACTCATAGTCTGACGCATAATTGAGTCCACCACAATTATGAATATCGTCGTGAGTGATAATAGGCAGGCAGCCAGCTTGTCTTACTCCTGTATTCACTTCGAACGCCTCACCGAGTTTCCCGTTGTGGATCACCTGACACGTAGCATTGTCATATAGCCAGCCAGCTGTTGAATGAAGTTAATAAAGATTTGGACACCGCACGCCGTAGTGTTTAAGTGGTTTCCAAATTACTTCTCAGTGAACGCTGTCTGGTGAAGGTCCTTTTGAAGTCGATCAAGTAGAGAGAGAGGTTTGACTGCCATTCTATGCTCGGTTCGACGATGATTTGTAGGAATTCAATTTGATCAGTACATGATTTGCATTTCCTGGATCCAGCTTGTTTCAGTGGGGCTGGCGTAGTGCTGTATCCAGTGCATCTTTTATTCCCCACAGGATGATGCGACTTAGTATTTTACTTAGCGTGGACAAGAGCATTACTCCACGCCAGTTCTTGCACAGTCAGGTGTAAGTCGCCTTTCTTTGGCAGTTTGACAGGGTAGCCAGCATTTCTTCCGATCGGTAGGTACCTTTCCTTCCCTCCAAACTGTTTGCAATAATGGCGCAAGAACATCTGCCGCAGTCGAAAATCCTATATAACCACACAATTCTCCATCGACACAATGAAACTGAATCAATGAAAACAGTGATTAAGAGGCTAAACAAAAATCGAATACTACTTACGATTATCACCGAAAAATGTTGATAACTGATTGAAGACTGGTGTGACACCCCATTTCTGTTGGCAGTAGCGTGTCAGTCGTTCCTTTGTTAAAGGCAAAGATGTAAACATATCACTCGCTGTGCTATCAGAACCATCGTACAAATTCATTTCTGTACAACTCTGAAATAAAATTTGAAAGACAATTCAGTAATAATAGTTGTCCAGTGAAGGATAAAGGTTTGAAAACAGATTGTAATTGCCACTATAACACTGAAGTACCGCGGTGGGGAGGTATTATAAAGTCCTTTACACCATTCTCATAATTAATGTTTTGTAACGTATCTTTGAACCGTAAGTCAAATCAAATGTGAAACACAACACCTCAATAAAAGAACTGAAACAAATTTCATATATCATCTTCAGAATGCTTATTTTTGTGCTAGTTTTTCGATATGCTGTCAGTCCACATAACTATTCCTCTAACTAACCAAGGGAAACCGTTGAACTAATTGCTATCAGTCCAGCTTCTTTCTACTCGATTTGAAGTAACACTGTGCAGCAGAAAATGAAAATTTTTCTTTGCACGTTGGGTGAAAATGGATAAATATTATTGTTATTGTTTCCTTGGGTTTCAAGTGGAAAACAAGGTTTCAACAGCAAATCTCCACTTTGTCCTATTTTCTGAAGTCCTCTTTAGCTAGCCCAACAGTTGCTGCTAGTCTCCCGTCTCCTCCTCCCATGATCTCCTCCAAGTCACCGTCGAACGCCCACTAGTCACTTCCAGGACGAGTTTCACTCAAGGGCCTGGAGCGCGATGTCACTGGACGGTCTCCTCAGCGTGTGTCCGATGCGTCTCTGTTTTCTTCGAGATATTTGCTGAGTGACAGTTTATTGTTGCTAATTCTTTCTGGATATCTGATCTCCATTGTGGAGCCAGCAAAGACAGCTGTTGATGGAAGTCTGCTGTAGCCTGTTAGAAATGTTTTTTGTGAAGCGCTTGTCAACTTTCTAACGCATTTAGAAGAACTGATTTAACATTGGTGGTGGTGAAAATCCAGATTTCGTTCTTTATGCTGAGTGCAGAAAATTTTCACACTCATTTCAGAGTTACGAAGGTCTGCCTCGCCTTTCCAACTTTGGTGTTGGCCCAATCATCCTTTTCGCCTACAGTTGAAATGATGCTGCGTAGATATGTAAAAGAAGTGACTTCTTTCAAATTTCTCCCGTTGGTGCTTGTTGTTGTTGGCTGTTGGGTATGTTCATCACCTCTGTCTTCTCTATGTTCACTTGAAGTCCTGTCTTTCCTTCTTTTGCTACCAACTTGTTGGCTTTCGCCTGTAAGTCTCCAAGTTTGTGTGACATTTGACCTAAATCATCTGCAAAGTTAACACTTTCTAGAGTCTTTTTACAGGTCCAGAGTATTCCCGTCTTCTCGCACCCTATGCACGGTGCACCTCATAATCCAGCCCATCACAATTAGGAAATTTTATCAAACTATATTGATGATCCCTAGAACATCGAAAGGTAATCTTTACTAAGTATTTCTTAACAACAGATGTACAGCAATCTAAAACTCAGAAGAGTTTTATCTTTTAGATTTACTGTGAGGCAGTTAAGGCTATTAGGCCTTTATTACGATCCAAGTAGCTAACGACATATAACTATTGACTATGACAGCTATTCAGCTGATATTTAATCCTTAGAGATATCATAACAAACTTCCTTTGTTACTTGACGAACAGTGATTACAAAAAGTGATCTTCGTAACACAAACTAGTTCAAACTGCTTCTCACCTTTTCTAAAAACCGATTAAATCTCATGTATAAATTAGTTTACTTTCTCGGTCAATGGTGATTGCTTTTACTATGAGTAATTTCAAATTGACTTAGGAATTGTCCACGCTAGTTTTCTATACTTTCTTCAGTATGAAATAACTACAGCAACAGTTCAAATATTAAGACTTCTCATAGTCTATTACATTTTTCAGATAATTCTCTAGATTTCGGTCAGAATTTTCATAGATATACTACAATCGGTGAAGTGTTACAAGCAAACAGTTCACGTTAGACAAATACAACAACTTCAGAAGTGTAAATGAAAATCGTTTATGAGGAATAAATTGAAGTTATCACAATTCATCAGTAAAATACAGCAAAAAATAAATCAACAAGTGTAAGAACACAATGATTTCTAAATGATATAGAATCCTCAGAGCTAAACTGATCTATCCAATGAGTTACAACTCATTTAAAAAGTGACTCATTACTTTGGTAGACATTATGATCAATAAGTAATTTCACTCAAGCGAAATCAAAGTATACGCTGAACTGTAAAGGAAAAGCGGGACGGTAACTTTGCTTTATGTTCTACTTACACTGAGAACTGAATCAGTAATCAAGTTCATATGTCTACATAATATAAAAATCCCTACTCCTTGTACAGTTTAACTGGGTACCTAGACTTTGGTGCGTAACGTGCAAGTAGCCGAGATTATTTTCCTTGTGAAAATATGTCTAGTTACAATGAGTGACATCATTAGCCAAGGCATATCCACAAAGTCAAAACGTAATTTCAACTAGTGATCGCACGGATCTAACCAACACTCCCCATTATGTTAAACGCTACTTGTCTTTACCACTATACTTCAATAGAGGCAGCCTAACGTTACAAGAGTATCTAATGCTACTTAGAGTTCCCATAAAGTCAAAAATAAACAACTCTGAAATCAATGATTTGGACTCTCACATTCGCTTCTGATGATCATAGTAAACATAATATTTAAAAAAACGGAAAACTCCACTGACACTGAAATCACTTTTCAAAAAATAAATAACTAGAAACAACAGTAAAAATTATATCAAGTTAATGAAAATAAATAATAGCTAACCTGAAAATCCCAAGCTAGAGAATCATTGCCTAAACCACAGCCTGTTATATCAGAACATTCAATAAACTCTGTCTTGTAGTCAAAACATGAAAGAGCTATAACAGATTAAAAAGACAGTGGAAAAATAATGACAACATGGAATACTTTTATGCAACAATTATAAATAATATGCTGTTATGTGTTTGCCAAAAACTATGTGAACTACAGGAAATCTTAAGAGTTTAGCTAATTATAGATTCCTAAAATGAGAAATATTATTATTATTGTTTCCTTTAATTCCTAGAGCAACATAGGGCTTCAGCCGTGCGTCTCTATTGCGTTCGGTTCTCTGCTAGAGTCTTCAACTGGCTCCAAGTCTGCCCACACGCTTTCATCTCCTTACTTCACATGACCTCCTCCAAGTCACCCTTGCACTGACGACCAACTCGCCGCTTCCCTTTCGGGTTCCACTCGGTCAGTGGCTTGTCTAGTGATGTCACTCGATGGTTTCCTCAGAGTACGGCCAATCCATCTCCATTTCTTCCTGCCTATTTGTTTCGCAATCGGTTCCTGCTGGGTTGGTTTGCTCCCAGAGATCCCTGTTGCTGATCTTTTCTGTCTGGCCATCTGATCTTGAGTGTATTGAGCGAAGACAACTGTTAATGAAGGTCTGTAGTTTGTTTGAGATGCTCTTTATGACACGCAGTGCAAGTCTCTGATCCGTATAGTAGCACTGACTTCACATTGGAGTTGAAAATCCGGATGTTATTTTTGATGCTGAGTGCTGTTGACCTCCACACAGACTTGAGATTAGTGAAAGCTTGTCTTGAGAAATATTACACGAAAAATATTAATTCACAATCTATCATCTGATATGGCTTTGAATGATTTCGAGGTTTTTGAAGTTTACAAAGAACTTTATATGCTGTAATTATTTTTATTGAGAATTGTCTAAATTATGGGAGAATAAACAAATTCAGGGGGATTTCCAATAAACATTTAGGGTAATTTGGGATAGACATTAATTTTCGCTTGCATGAACATATTTTACTTAGCAGCACAGAAAAGAAGTGATCTTAAAGTTAGCTGTTATTTGTGATTAACATCGGAGCTATTTTATGACAAGATTTGAAAATGTCAGTATCACCGGTATGGCACACTAACGACAAACCTGATTTGCTAACCAAGTTTGAAGTGCAGCCAAGTGCAGTTAGATAACCACTTCTCAAACTTAGCTATTTTCTCTATATACTCCAAGGACACATCAATCAGTTATCAATGAGCAATAATTAATTCAATTTCTATACATCCACAACACAGACTTCTTACACATTACGAACTAAGGGCTTCACAATTATCCTACAATCCATGAAACAACGAAAGTCAAGACGGTTGCAGAAAGATATCTATTCAATCTGACTTCAGCAAAAAAAATCAATCAAAACTGAATCACACCATGAAAGATTTTGACGGTAAAATGTTACACAAACTTTGACTGACAGACTGAACTGTGTCAGTGGAATTGACTTAACGAGAGCAAGCCTGCATTCCACAGCAGTCAGTAATCGACCACTGATTTTATCAGTCATACTTCAAACTACAAGTATCTGATTAGGAAATACAACAATGGGGGTATGTTGGGCGTAGTAATGGTGCCAAAAGAGGTGCAAATAAACAAGTTTACTAAGCAATGGAAATCAAAGAATATGTGTCTATCCTTCTGATTTCCGAGAAAAATATTTTCCCGGAAATTGTATATATGTTTGATAAAGTGCACGTAACTGTTATTAGCTGGGTGACTCAGTAATACTGCATAACTGTGCGCTTTATTTAACTACAAACAATATTACTAACACATCACTATTCATAAATAAGTAAAAATATGAGCAGTTAGAAAAATCGTAAACACACAGACATCTAGGGGAGTGATGAAAAACGCCCATACCCTAACTGATCTCCTTCGAAACATTTCACACATATCAAAACCATATAATAATTGAGTAAACAGATATTTAATTCAATAAATTGTAAGTGCTCAACTTTAAATATTAGATCAAATGTGTGAATTTCCCAAATGAATAAGAATTAACTGTCTAGATGTAAATTTAAAACTACTAGTCCCTTTTTTAGATTTGGATAGTGTTATTAGAGGACGGTGATTATCTGAAAAATGTGATGTATTTGCGCAGTACATTTCCAATAATCTGATCACCATTACCATTCATATGAAAAATAAAGGTTTAATACAATACACAAAGTGACAAAAAGAATTTAAGAATAATTAACACTATATTTGGTTATCTAATCAGATAAGAATTACCAAGGTAGGTTAAGAGTAATAATAAATTGTGTAAACAATCACTGAAAGACTACATAGTTTATGCATACTGTGTTGACTCTTCTAAATAACAAAGATAACGAAGAGAATAGACCATTTATAAAACGCTTCATTGTGTAGTGAGTGAATAAAAGCCCAGTATAAGAAGTAGAACGAATTGGCAAGATGAACGTGTTTGTAAATGTGCTAGCCATACAGGGTAGTACTGTGACACTATTTGCTGAATTAACACTTAAACACATTGTAGCTGTTATTTCAAATAAATTTTGAAAATCATTTAGGGAACCATTAGTGATAAAAAAGTATTAAACAGCTTTGTCAACCTAGGTTGAGACTCTTTAAGAGTAATCAGCAACAACTCTACATGATATCCGCTATCCACCAAAGGACGTTCATACTGTGTGAAAGTTTGTCCCATCCTTCTTTACGAGTGTAGTACATGATCACTGAAAGTGGAAGATATGATCATAGGTGTTTGCGTTGTCTCCCATGATGGGTGGCATTATATGGTGGATAATATTGAAATTAGGCATACAGTGTTTAGTGAAGAGGTAAAATCGGTCGATTAGGATGTGAAACTGTATCGAATGAGATGAGTAGGACATGTGCTACGCATGTCGAACGCTCTACAGCCTTCTACTTCAAGCAGTATAAGGTGACACAGGATTGGGTTAGAAAAGAGTTAGAGGTGGTCAAACGGAAACATAGAATCAGTTCGTGAAATTTTTGACCATTGGTCTGAGCCAAATAGGAAGGCATAGCCTGTTTCGCTGGGGTCTTTCAGATGTTATGAATCAATGGATACAGACTGTTGGTGACATGGCTCAAAATCTTTCTCAGTGGAGAGGATGCATTCACGCTTTGTGATCTGATGGATTTATAAAGTTTTCACTATTCTGCAAGTGATTATTTCTTGTGCCATAGATTTGCGTTAATTATCCTTTCTTTGCATTTGTGTGTGCTCTATGGAGTGTGGCAACTTGAACTGCTGCACTTCTGTGAAAAGTTCCAGGTTGGAAATTCAGTCTTTCACAACTCCACCACTTCACCCCAACATCTAAATATGAATCATCATAGTATTTATTATTTCATGAACAATGATCAGTTATATATCATACATATATAACTTAAATAGAATTATAAAAGTTAGTAACGAGATATCCTACGCTTAAAATGATCTTGAAAAAAAACTGATTCGAAACCTATTTCAAAATCTGACTTTCTGGTTTCTTATTCTTCTTACCGTTTTCATAATTATTTTCGGTAACTTTCTTACTGTCGTTGAAAGAGGGTGCATTTATTTCTAATACACTGTTCAAATGATTTATGTTTTTTAGGCAGTAATCATTAGTATTTTCGGACAAGGAAAATTACCTCATGCATCTCATAGACAGCACAAAAAAAGATACGATATCATACAAGAAATGAAATACTTACACATAGAATTGTTATAGTAAACGCCAACAGCTTCACGAAGAGATGGAATGAGATCTGGTGTTGCCAAAGCGTTTTTGCAAGAGACATTAACAGGATATGCAGGTAAACTTCCTATAAATGCTGTCTGATAAGGATAATCTTCCATTGCCATCATAACAAATGCATTGCGAGCCCATTTCAGTACCCAGTAAAATTCAAACTCATTACTGATAGGTTGGCACAAACGTAGTTGTTCAGAAAGTTGTTTGTAGCCTTAGGAATCATCGCAAAATCAAAAACACACATGAGAGCTAGAGACCAACTTATGAGTTATTAACAGAATGATATATACCAGCATATTCAACGGAGTTCTCATTTCGTCAGTGTTCTAAATGTTTGGCATACAGTAACTTAGAATACGGAACAAGCTACATATTCTGAAACAGATAGTGGTGACTAGATGGGTGAAACTAAAGGCGAAACAGGTTTTCAAAGCAAATGTGAATGGTTTAGAGTGACACCAATTCATAATGCTAACCCTTTGATGAATCCCAGCCGACAGTTTAGGTATTTTAACAATGAACTGCTAGCTATACTTACTGCGGGAGGTTCATGTCACAAATTTTTGTCGTATGTCACCTAACATTTTTGTTGTTGTGATTATATGTGGATAGAATAAGGTAAAAGTGTTAAAAGGTAAAGTATTCAGGTGAAGAGAGGTTAAACACAAAATCTTTGTTCATCGAATCAACACCAAACACGTGCAATCGAAATGATACAACATTCAGACTGGATACATAGAAAATTGCAATAAAAAACAGGAAGTAAAAGTGTATAAAGCATGTTAAGAAGTCATGTGAATGCACTGATATGATTACGAGCAATAAATTGTGCTTGAAACATTGACAAGTTATTAATACTGTATCACTGTCTATTATTTCAATTACTTAACTAATACACAATTAGTTTAGTCATCAGACAGGTAAAAAGCAGTATATTAGTTAGTTGCGCATAAATTAGCTCTCCGTAGCCTCGCGTAGTTTGCTAGCCGGTCCGAAGCTCAAAAATATGGGAAGTTGAGCGTCGGGCTAATGATCCCATCCTTTAAAAAAATATTTTTAAGAGCATATGTAATGCAAGCGGACTCTCCAAATTGTTAATCAAACTTAATAATCTACTCGTCAATTAGACACTAGCACACTGAGCATGTGGCTACCAAGATTTCTTTAACAGTATCTAAGGCTCTCATGAGGTGGGATCAACCTCCTCCAGGGTCATGAAAGCAAGTTTCAACACAGAAGGAAGGAAAGTTACAGCTATACAGTGTTTTTTATCCACAAACACGAGAAGGAGGACTTATACACACAACTGCAAACAGTAATCAATAAGACCGCAGCCAGATGAAGATATCAAAATTCTAATGGGTAATATAAATGCCAATCTGGGAATTGACAACACAGGAAAAAAACTCATCATAGGTCGATAGGTCAATGAAATGAATAAGAACAGAGAACTCTTTTCAGGCTTAAGCAGCTCCAGTAATTGGAGGTGGTGCACACAAATACTGGAGGTGTTTAAGGACGGACTAGCTAAGGTAAGAAGAAATTTCTAGGAATTAGAGATGGTTCCGTTAGACTGGTGTAAATCACTGATTATACCAGTTTATGAGAAAAGAAATAAGAATGACTAATACAGTATTACGTTCAATAAGCATATGTAGACTAAATGGTGCTCAGGAGAAACAAACTGGAGGAAACCATGCAGGCTTTAGGCCATGAGGAGGATGTACTGGTCATATCTTCAGCTTTTGACAGATACTAAAAAACGTGGATACTTACCAGCACCCAAAACTTGACGTATTTCTCTACCTCAAGGAGGAATTTGACTCCATTAACTGTGACGTACTATGGCAGTGTGTGGCTATGAAGGGAGTGCAAAGTAAGTATGTCGCAGAAATGAAGGCAGTCTACTCGAACCCATGCAGCTGGGTAACAGTTTTTGGATAGTTATCGTCTGAAGTTATGACAACCAGTGATTTCCGTCAAAGATGCCTAGTGTTTCCATTTGTGTTTAATTTCATGATAGATGTACTAATGGGATTTATAACAACTGACTTTACCAACTTATGAATTGACTAGGATTGTGTTGCGTATGCCATCAATACCTTCCTTGGCAGGCAATATTAGCTGACATAAGTTGGTTTGAGCCAAGTAGCCTGTCTGGTTGGGATCCTCCAGACGCTAAGAAACAACGGCTTGAGACTATTAGTGATAAGACTGAAATCCATTCTCATTATCGCAGATGCATTCACCCTATTTTGGTCTTCTACATCAACTAAGCCATCATGTCACCAAAAATACCCATTGAGTCATGAAGAAAATAAAAATAAGCCATCATGTTTTTCCAAGTTAACTTTCTTTCTCTCTCATATTTATGCTTATTATATATCTTTTGAATAGCTTTTCTCTCTCTTTTGTCTACTTTGTGTGCTGCATGAAGTGTGACAACTTGGACTGCTGAGCTTCTGTGCTAAGTTTTACGTTGCAACTCAGTCTGTCGCTCAGTCAAAGGTACCAGGATACTCATAGTGCGACATGGATATCACCATATGGAAGCACCAAAATCAGCTCAGTTTCATTAAAGCAGAAATGCTAACTGGTCAAACGATGGAGAAGAGCAGCAGATGTAGAGTCAAACCACTATCTAGTGCAAGGAACCTTCACAGATAAGTTAGGAGCCTTTAAAGAAATCTAAGATAGACCGAAACTCACGTTAGACATTTAAAAATCGAAGGATGCAGTTACAGGGAACAAATTCACGGTAGTTATCAGGAAAAATTCGGAGATACTATGTGACATCACTGAGGGAACCTGCGTGTAAAGAACACTAGAAGCACTAGAAAGTAACCTAGTTGAGGACCTGTATAGAAAACCTACAAAAAAAACGAATGTCTCCCTGAAGTTAACTGGAATCTGATACGGAAAAGGACGATGGTGAATCAGATTAGCTAATGCAAAGGTGGACAACGAAAAGAGAAGTTGAGTAAGACCTATAGAGTAGCGAACAAATGAATAACGAAAAAGTACACATTGGTAACGCAAGCAAAACGGGCTGCGGGTAAAGGAGACTTAATGACACTATATCAAATAACCAGGTCACTGTCAGGGAAAAGACCAACGCAGATGCAATTAATGAAACCTATACACCAAATGAGTGAAAGAGTTGAAACTGTGGGTTGTTTCTTCCACCATCTACAACTAGTCCAGAAATACCACCAGCAGACACAGGACTACTATTTAGCACACACTTCAGACTTCGTCCGAAATAGGCTGGATTCGGGGGAAAATCATAGGCAGCTCAAATTGCAGCAGTGAGCACCACCATTTAACAGAGCCTTTTATTTATTTATTTATTTAAACGCATTAAAACTTGGTACAATATGGCACCAAGAAGGATGCGCCACACAATAATAATAAAACAACATAGATGAAAAAAAAGGAAGACAGGAAAAGAAAAAATATATATAAGTAGAGAACGAATAATGAACTTCATCTGGAAGGAAAACACTCATTCTTAACAGGTTCAAACAGTGTTCGTTAACTATCATCGGGAATGGAAGAAAGAAGGAAATCGCAACACATTCGCCATTGATTACGATTCTTGGCCATATCCGATAACGTTTCGAGCCATCGATTTGAGCTATCTCTCAGACCCCAACCAGGGAGTCGTGACACACCAACCGATGCTAATCTAGCACAAATATCCTTCATCCCACGACGCCACGTCATGGGCTGACCACCTCTCCGCCTTTTCCAACCCGTCCCAGGGCTAGCGAACAGAGACCTGTACGGAAGCCTCTGGGGTGACATTCGCAGCACATGTCCAAGCCACCGGAGCCGGTGTTTCCAGATGACGACATTCAATGAATGGTGATCTCCACTGTGTTCAAACACACGCCGCCGAACCTCAGAATTACTCACGCGATGATGCCATCGAACGCAAGCAATCCTGCGGAGACAGCGGTGATCGAACACGCAGAGTCGCCTCACATCCTCAGCTCGGAGAGGCCAGGTTTCACAGGCGTAGAGCAGCGCAGCCCGCACCGAAGCATTGTATACCCGACCTTTGACAGCCAGGCTAACGTCGCGACGGCGCCAGAGGTGGCTCAAGTTGATGTATGCCACCCTAGCTTTCATTATACGGTTGGAAATCTCATCCGTCACCCCTCCGCCAGCACTCACACAACTACCTAGGTACACAAACTTATCGACAACTTCAAGCGGTTCACCCGCAAGAGTGAGTGCAGGTACAGGCTCCTGCCAATCTTGTAACAGTACTTTGCACTTAGACGGCGCAAAGCACATACCATACTTACAGACACTGATCGCCAACTGATTGAGTGCGATTTGGGCAGCCTGCATGCTATCGCACAGTAAGACGATATCGTCTGCATACTCGAGGTCGAAAAGTCTATCTCCAGGTAGCAGATCTACACCACCTTCACGCACATCCTTCAGAGCTGACTCCAGAATGTCATCGATGGCAAAGTTAAAGAGAAATGGTGAGATTGGGCAACCCTGTCTAACCCCACTGTTGGTTGGGAACAGTGGTGATAGTTGGTTGTATGCCCTCACTCTACCTGAGGTGTTTCTGTATAGGGCTTTCAAGATGTTAACAAATTTCTCAGGTACACCTCTCTCTAACAGACAGTTCCAGAGCACAGTTCTGTCCAACGAATCGAAGGCAGCCCTAATATCAAGAAACACAACGATCGTTGGCCTGCAATACGTGTGGCGGTGTTCCAACAACTGACGAAGGGTGAACACATGATCAATGCATCCACGACCTGAACGAAACCCAGCCTGCTCTTCGCGAATCAATCCTTCGCGTATTTTGCACAGTCTGCGAAGCATGACAGCAGCCAATATTTTAGACGCAACTGGTAACAGACTGATACCCCTATGGTTGTCACAGGAATTACGTCGACCCTTTTTAAAGATGGGGACGATAATGGCTTCGTTCCACATTGATGGTACGCTCTCTGTCTCCCACACCCTCCTGAACAACCCAGTTAGAGCCATTATGAGAGTCTCGCCACCATCTTTAAAAAGAGCCGGGGGTAATTTGTCTGGGCCGGGCGCCTTATGGCGTTTCAGAACTTGGAGTTCCTTACGGACCTCCGCTTCGGTGGGTGGGTCGGTACTAACCGACCAAGGAGCACTCGGGCTAATGATAGTAGACAATGAAGCTGGTGGCCAGCTGAACTGCTTCCCGAAGTGCTCTGCCCAGCGTTCCAGGCGTCTCTTCAGGCTGGTAATTGGAGTGCCATCTGCCTCACAGACCGTCTCGCTGACACCTTGTTTCTTGCTGCCGGTGGCTCGTATGAGTTGGAACAGCTTCCGACTGTTGCCAGATGCAGCAGCTGACTCCATCTCATACGCACGTTCTGACCACCAGGCTTCGCGGTCCTTACGTAAACACTGTCTAATCTTGCGCGTGAGCGCCTTTCGCTGATTGTTGTATTCACTGCCAGCCGGAATGGACCGGCGTTCATCCATGAGTTGCAAGGAACTCGCAGAAACCCAGTGGTTGTTAGCGGAGCATTCTTTCAAGCCGCAAGCGGCTACACTCGCCTTTTGCATGGCACCTTGCACATGAAGCCAGTGTTCATCTATACTACTTGGGGGGTTGCTGGCAAGCATTGTTTTCAACTCGTTCTGATATTTCAAAGAAGTAGCAGGTGCTACTAGTTTGCTCACATCAACGCTTAGACGACGGTTTTTACGAACCCCACCAAATCGCAAGACGAACTTGGCACACACTAACGCATGATCGGAGTCCAGGCATGTGCTCCAGAAGGAGCGACAGTCTTGTATGCATCCTCGCCACCGGAAACTGACCGCAATATGATCAATCTGAGTCCAAGCTTGCTTCGCAGAGGGAGGACGCCAGGTAGCGCTACGGCGATGGCTGTGCCGGAAGTTGGTGCTGGCTAGAAATAGGTTGTGATCCGCGCAAAGCTGCAGAAGACGGTCCCCATTATCTGACCTGCGACCATGTAGTCCCCACTGACCACCTAGACGACTCTCCTCTGAGCTTAGACGCCCGACCTGTGCGTTCAAGTCCCCAGCTAGCACTACGATATCCCTCCGACCCGCCTGTTTCAACAGATCGCTCAGTTGGTAGTAAAACTCATCCTTCATTGCATCCGGGCTGCAATCCGTCGGTGCATAGGCAGAGACAACAAATAGACACCGCCTATCTGGCCTACTACTCCTTACTTTCGTATAACCTTCCAGCCTCACAGCACATAAACGACTGTTAATGGGAATCCAGTCGAGCAGTGCAGCTTCGGCTCTAGCGCTCAGTGCGACACCGACACCAGCTACGCCGGATGCTGATGCCACAGGGTCCCCGGATAAGCGCAGGTGGTACATACTACTAGAACTTCCAGATGGAGAGGACAGTCGAAGCACTTCACTGGGATCTTGAATGCGGGTCTCCGAAATGCAGCAGACATCGATAGCGAGGCTTTCCAAAGTTCTTGCCAACCCTGCCTGTTGTCCGATTTGCATCAGCGTCCGAACATTGTAGGTAGCCAGCTTGAACGCAGCACGCGGTTTCAGGATATCTGTGTTAGAAGTCACATTGGGGACAGCCATTTTGAGGACTACTCACTAACATCTCGAAACGACACAGATAGGCTAGGAATCCAAACAAAGGCGAAAGGCTGTCGAAGGTTAAGAAGTCAAGGTTAGGAAAGGTAAAATACAGGAAACTAAGTATAAAAATAAAAGTAAGGTTGGAAAGAGATATATCAACTGGGACATCATTATTGCTTGAGAGCATTGTTAAGAGCGCGCGATGAGTTTCACTGATAGTTCGTTGCTTCATTTAATTAATTGTGTGAGGGCTGAGATACTGCCCGGGCGCCCAAACCGAAGCAGGTGGTTTTCTTAAGGGACCACCCCCCGAGCCTTTGACTTGGAGTCTAATCCGCAAGGCAGCGGAGCAGCGTCAGGTGCTGCGTTCCCATGGTTGCCGGTGACCCATATGGGTTCGTACGCCATTTGATCCTATTGGATTCTGGAGCCCATGTACCCCATGGTAACTGCTTTTAGTCTAACCGCTATCCAAACAACCTTCCTGGCATGGTAGGACCTGCAGGGACATGAGTCCCAGCCAGTTTAGCTTGTTGGGTCACTGCGGCATTCAAGCCCGACCACCACGGCAAGGTAGCAGTTATCGGCCGGGATTTAACAGAGCCTAGGATTACAAAATGCCCTTGGCGCCTGAGGGAGAAATGGAAAGGATCTTATGAAGGAAAGCCAGCTAAGCTAAACTGCATGGAACAGAACATAATGGCCAAGTGCTGCTGAATTCCTATGTTCCACTCAAAATTCAAGGAACATATAATAAACATAAATATTAACTAGCCTTAATCTTACCGTATAGGGAATAAAATCTAAGCTTACGTCTCTCGCGTCTCCAAATTCTGCCTAACTATCGGAAAAACTTTTAATTTTTCACAAGTCCGCAAAATTTCTGATTTGTTTCGGAAGTTTTCGTAGTATCTTTGGCTTGGAAAATACAGCACTACGAAGTTGTCAGTTACAAATGCTTACCGCTTAGATAAATCAGTCATCTAATTAGCTAGTAAATATATGCTGTGTTGAAACCAAAGTCATAGATCCAGCTTACTAGTATTGGATACACTTCTTATAACTTTAGAAATTAAAAAATCTCTGTATGACTAAGTCATGAACCTTCATTAACTTGACGTTTATGCCATATCTAATTGGGAATTTATGAGTTATAAAAAAGACCCGATTATACCTTATTTAAAATTAACAACAGTGTGTTAATAAGTGCCATTTCAATATATATTTAAGCGGAATTTTTACCACCGAAAGTTCATATTCTTTCCATATCAAAATTGATATATTTCTGCAAGTAGCTCTTTATATCAAGACGGACAAAACTTCCCCTTAATTTACGACAAAAATTACTGCAGATTATATACAACTAAGATTATCAAAAAATACAGAGGTATCAAGTTACTGCGTACAGCAACTCACTAATGACCCTATCCACAGGAAAAGCACAGAGGAAATGTCAGAGAATCCTGGTATAGTGACTGTTACTTCAATAGTGGAGTATTCACCTTCATTTGGTGTGTCATCAACCCCTAGTTTATTAATAACAGTTATTTATTAGAATCTAAATAGACAGTAAAACTGATGTAATTATCTCATTAGCCTATCATTTCAATCTATTAGCTTACCAGTATCTGGCTTTTGGGACATTTGAACAGCTGTGTTGAAAGCATCTTTGATCTTTTGAGAACATTTTGGATTAACATCATGATAGTTCTAAGAGAACATGTTTGAATGAATACAAGAGCACTCACCTTAGTGACAGCCTCAAAGAACTCATGGAAGTTTCCTTCACCTGCAACCCATCTGACTGGTGCACTCGCAGCTAAAGCACCTTTAATTATGTGTGGATAGCTTGCTCGCATATATGCTGCTAACATGCCTCCATAACTGTGATCAATGAATAACTATAACATATACACTTACCTTCCACCAAACGCAATGACTGGAGACCTAGTAATGTTGAATTTATTTTTGACTCCCTCAATTAAATAGGCATAGTCTGCTAATGCTTGCTTAGTTGAAAGGAATTGAATGTAGGGCTGTTGAAAGCTTTTTTCAAAGGGAAGGCTTTCACCGTAGTATCTCTAATCATACTAATGAGATATTGAATGAACTGAAAACATACGTGTTCAGCAAACAGAATAAAAGCATTGAAACTGGGAGCCAACTCAAACATTAATCCCGTATTGTTCCAGAACGTTTCAATGTCTCCTTCATTACCACAGTAAAAGAAAATTGGTCCGTTCGGTTTGAACCACTTATCTTTTGTTGAAATTATTGGTTCTAACAAAGTAAAACACTTACCTTCATAGAGATACCGTTGCTTGAAAGTCATATTTGATGCTTGGAAACTGAAATGATCAACTCTCTGAACAAAATGATCTTCTTTTGGTGGCCATGGAATGCAGAATGTTGAGCGGAATAAAACGCAGATGAGCAACACGAAGATCGATAAAATCCAGTTTTTATGCATCATTGTTCTGAAAATCAAAACGGTGTGTTAGAAAGATATTAAGTCATCAGTTTTGTTAGCAATCGAAATGAGAAGGAAAGAAGTTTTACTTGCAATTAAAAAGAGTGTTATTGAACGATTTTTAAATGTAGATGCATTCGATAAGCCATATATTGGACAAGGGATACTTATGTTACCTGGCTTCCTAAACTTTGGCATTCAGAGAAGGACTGAAATCAATTGGGTTTAAAGTTCAGGTCCACTTATGCGTAAAGTACATTCATTTGGACAATGTTGCAATCAAATCCAACATTTCTGAATACGTTGAACCAGTAATAAGATTCTAGAAAGTTTTAGCTTTGCGGGTGACTTAGGTCAAATGTCACACAAACTCGAAGAACTATAAGTGAAAATCAACAAGTTAGTAGCAAAAGCAGTGAAGGCAGGACTTCAAGTGAACGTAGAGAAGACAGAGGTGATGAAGATACCCAATAGCCAACACCAAGCACTAATCATTGCCAACAGGAGAAACTTGAAGCCCCTTATTTCACTCATCTAGGTAGCATCATTTCAATTACACGTGACACAGATGAAGATGTCAAAACCATAATGAGAAAGGTGAGACAAACCTTATCAGTGTGAAAATCGACTGCACTAAGCATAGAGAACAATATCCAAATTTCAAACACTCAAGTCAAGACCTTAAGTGCTTCTATATGGTTCAGAGACGTGACATGTCACCAAAAGCATTTTAAACAAGCTATGGCAGACTTTTACCAATAGCTTCCTTTGCTAACTTCATAACGAAGATCAAATAGCCAACCAGAAAGAATAAGCGACAAGGAGCTTGGGTAGGAGGCAAACCAACCAAGAACCTATTTTCTAACATATATGCTAAACAAAATAGGGATGGATCGGACACATGCTAAGACCATTGATTGACATCGTTCGACAGGTTCTCAGGTAGAACTCGAATGGGTGTCTGAAGGCGATATGGAAGAGATGAGAGCTTAGCAGCCACCGTGAAGCCAGCTGAAAACCACTCCACAGAACAGAGTGAAATGGAAATGTGCCTTTGAAGACCTAAGCTCCACGTGGAACTCAAGTGAATTTATATGTATAGTTAGATACTTCGTCTGTTGTGAGTAACAGCCCTAACTTCTTGTGAGCATGCTCAAGATTTCAGTTTTTAAAGCCATCTTTTGTATGTATGTCATTGAGCTCCCCTTATTAGATACATTTTCGTTACCAGACAAGAGAGCAAACGTAGCAAAAGCCTTTAAGAGCGCAATTAGATCAAGGAAGTGAAATGAAGTAAGAAAAAACTCATCATTTTAGCAAATAAATACTGGGAAAGAGTAGGGAAATTACTAAATATGATATCATTCTGTACATTTTCTTCTTTATTATGGATGATTATCTGTTCTTTCACCCAAATTGGCAGGGCTGATTATATTAGTTGTTTGAAAGCCGCTTTTACATCCGATTCCTTCGGATCACTATCCCTTAACTTTCACTGTTCATTAAGTTCATATAGATAGGAAAAGTCTCGACACACCAGCAGGTATGACTGAGCTTCGTGGGGGTTGACATATTCTGGCAACAACAGCTCTTGGGTCTCTTCTAAGTATGTTGTAGGACGTGATGAAACAGCTTTTGCATCTCCTGCTATAAAAATTACATAACAAGATCAAACCTCATTCGTCCTTCGTTAGAGTCTTAATTCTTGACATGCAGTCTTATACCTTACCAGTTGTTCAATGCAGCCAAAAATCTAAGGCCATAGTTCGGAATGCCAAATTACTTGGTATAAGACTGTTACGCATTTAGAAACACACAAACAGACTATAATAAACGACTGATAGTAAAATTACAGTATTGATACTGCAACCAACAATTGTTGGTTCTGTACCAACTACTCCCGACACGAAAAACAGACATGTGTCTACGGTGTGTTAATCAGATACTGTTTTTGACATTAACTGGGATGCGTATGTATAGCATAAGGTGCCTCATATATAAGCCGACATGTATACATATGTTAAGTATACTTAACAACATTTGCACATAACAGAATCCAGGTGTACTATTTACCCATGCCCAATAAAATACCTATTAAAAAATCCATGCGATGGCAACATTAAGATAACGAAGTTAGGTAAATTAAAAGGGTCAGAGTAATACTGACAACTGCTACTAACCTTCGTGTTAACTAACAAAAGCTGTGAAGAGACCGCCTGTTTCATTTGATGAGTTAAAAGCGATCATTTCAATATTCAATTTCGTAATATTCAATTGATTATTCACAATAAACTAAAACCGAATTTGTTCATCTACTAATATTTCTTATTAACAAAAACGAATTCTTCAGGTTTTCCGGGAATCTTCCTACTTTCAGTTTGTCGTAACAAATAATAATGGGATAAGTTTTCAGGATTTTAGCACGCTATGGATAGAAACTTGCAATGGGAATATGGATTGAATACATTCCTTCAGATGCCCTGCATTGCACTGAGTCACTAAAATGGGAGAACAAACTGGCTTATTCAGGTGAGACTAACGAGTCAATTAGAAAGAAATACAGCAAAGGAATATACTGCCAATACTTGTAGAATTAGGCCATGAATTTATTTGACTGGTAGTATAGGGTGAGAGATCTGATTGTAGGATGTCCAAAATTTGATATCAGGTGAAATGGAGTTCAGTCGTAATATCACAAAACCATCCTAAGCAAATAACGGCTTAAATTTTCAGTTCTCTTTTAGTCCGATTTTGGGGTTTTAAAAGCGTGTGAATGCTAGCAACTGTTACTACAAAATATAGTGATTTTGAAACTAGGCGAAGCCAGATCTGCATAATACAGACCAGCCATTTGTTGGCCTTAACTCTGATCAATTACTAGTGGAAGATGCTATCTGCATGAACACCATGCTCTTGCTATGCCTAAAATCACTTCTTTATTCTGCTATTCACTTGCAATAGTGTGTGTCTTGGTAACAGATGCAGAAGCAAAGTCAATAAAAACAGCATTGAAAGGTATTCTAAGGGGAGAAAATATGAAAGTAGATAAAGGTTAATTTGGTAGACAAATAAGCAGAGTGTTGAGAAAAGCGTCACAGTAATGACTGTGAAGGCGTTGGGTAACCGATGGGACGAGAAATGCTGTAACAGAGCAATGTGTCAGGTTTAAATCTCCTATAAGTAAAGTGTTAATCAATTGGAAACAGTTCCTGTATTAATTTCCGATCGCTCACTGGGAATCTAAATGGTAGATACCTAGAAGAATTAACTCAGTGGTAAACTCGAAATACTCTGTCACAGAAAAGGAGCTAGATCAGGTAAAAATTGGTATAATTATTTAAAAGTTTTATAAGGCGCATTGGACTAATAAACGGGATAGTTGTTTGGTCTATGTTAAGTCTATCTAAACGATATTATTTGAGTTAAATTTGGGGCCATAATTCGTTTACTTAATGCACTTCTTCTTCACAAGGTTACAAGCATGTTCATTCATTGGATTTCTGTACTTTAACGTCGCTTACCCAACCACCATCTGCAGCTGCATACTGATGCGTGTAGTGCCTTTGAGAAACGTGAGATCATCCACCTGATGGAGTTCAGTAGATGTCACCTACTAACTGTTTTGTGTGGCTGACAGTAAATTAGAACCATATGGAGTCCGAGAATTACCTGAGAGGCGAATCTAACCTCCATAATTATCTGAGTGTATCTTCAACGTGTACGGCACCCCTCTACCATTTTCATGATTTTTTGCTGTCCAGAAAGAAATACATCGTTCCCTTGCAGAACTGGAACTTGAGTGCATTCTCCGCAACTTCGCTTGGATATGAAATAATTAGCCTAAGCGAAACTGCAAAGAGGACATTTAGTGACGGGCAGATATACTCTGAATAATGGAAGATGAAATCATTCATTGACACTGAAATGCTTCAAACCTTAAGGTCTGACTGTATTCAGTGCTACTACTAATAATAGCAGTCTTATTCGAAAAAATGCTTTTATACATAATATAGAATTTTCGACAGAGCATTTATCCTTCGTGCAGAATTTCTAAATTATCGAATGATCTGCAATACATTATCTGAAACAAAATCTCCACATCCGAATTATTCTGCTTCAATGCTTCACCACAGTCCCCTTCCTCAACTTCCTTAAAAAACTTCCTTGCGTAGGTAGATCTAGATCAAACTAGAGGAATTCAATTTGAAATATGCCTTCAAGACGTTCAGGTATTAGGATGTCAGTAAGATGGTGAAATGAAAACATTCATCAAGAGAAATCATACGTGGTATGGGTAACTCACAATTCTCCACATCTGGCGGCTTTTACACACAAGACGAAACCTGACTTCCTGGCTGTGTAATAGGACATGAGACATTCGCAGCCCTGAGACCATAGAGGAGGCGATCAAAACTGAGGTATTCTCACTGCAAATGGTCACCCCAAGCCCGCACCAACAAAATCGTGGACACTATCTGCCTGAAAAGCTTCTTAAAGAATCGAACTATCGCACTGAAATTACATTTCTCCGTGCTTGCAGATTATTTTTCATTGCATCCCGCAGCTTAATTTGAACGTTTTCCTTTATGACCGTTGATTTAACATCCGCTGCAACAAATAGCTATATTTTTAGATGTTCTGTTTTTCGCATTAATTTTGTGATGCGAGTGCGCTAATTTGGACGTTATTTTCAGTACATTTTCCTTGACAAGGTTCTCACAATTCTCAATTTTTCCAGGGGTGACGGGCACTGGACCAGAAGCAAACGAAACACAAGATCCAAAGAGTGAAAAACAAATCGGCATACATACACTTGGTTAGCATGAATAGGCGACCAGCAGGCAATCCATCAAGCCGCTCGGAAGGGTTTTACTGATGGTAACACCACTGGGTATTAAATTCCGGCTGGTTTCGTCTCAGGGTCCTAACAATCCCACTAGGAAGGATTGAGCTGTGGTGGTATTTAATTCCCCAGAATTATTAGCCACAGCATTCATCACTAAATATTGGATGCTGACCCTCACTGTTTTAGTGGATTTGTTTAGCTGGGGGCTTACAGTCAAGCACCCATGCCACTTGCTGCGCGATCTTGTTATGTTCATTTCTTCCTGCAATCATCGTGCACTCCAGTTTGATCCGGAAATACAACTTGTACTTTGGCCTATCTATTCTGTTGTTTTGCTTTGAAATTGAATGGATATTCACTCTTTTTAAGACTCTTGGTAGGTATTTCTCTCCCATTCTCTAAATGGACTGGGGTGCAATAGTGTATTTGAGCTCTTATAAACAATGTCTGCATACAGTTCATTTTTGTGAGTAGATGGGTCGTCGTTATTGGACTTGGTCAGTGAACCACTCCTAGTTAACTAGCTTGCTAGTTTTCTAGCCGGTCCCAAGCCCGGTTGAAGAGGGAAGGTTGGGCGCGGAGCTAGCAACCGCACACCGCTAAACCTATCAAACTGGTAGCGAAACTTCAGCACACAGAAAATATATTAAAAATACAAAAAATTAAAAAATCTTTTTCTTCGCTGAGATCGGAGAGGCGAAATGACACAGCCGGCTGGTGAAAGCTAGCCTACGGGAAGTCGGTCAGCTAGCCGATGTGTCTTCTCTCGATGAAAGCAAGAATAAGAATGAGGACGTAGAATGCACGTACAATGTTCGAGACTATTGAGGTTGCCCAAGTAGCCAACAAAATCTGAAGATAAGGTATAGAAGTACTGGGTATCTGCGATAGCAGGTGGAATAGATGTGGAATGTCAAAACTGTCAACTGATAAGACGGTAGTTTACTCCCGTCTGGTCGCCCAGACGACAACCACAAGCGCACTGAGGCAGTGAGAGGCTACCATGATTTCACCACTGGCAGCCAAATCCCTAATGCATTGAGGACCAGTTTCATCCAGGATCCTGGCTGCAAGATTCAACTTGAGATGGAGGAAGTTCACAATACGTACAATACTAAAAATAATACAGAACAAAAGAAGAAGGAAGAATTCTAAAGACACCTAAAAGCAATAATGTACAACAACTCGAACAAAAACAACAAAATCCTTATGGGCAATATGAATGCCAACTGAATTGGGAGCAGATAATACATGAAGAGGACTCATCAGAAGTCGAGAGTCTCTGGCTCAGTGAAATCAATGGGAACGGAAAATTATTCACAGACTTCTGCGTTTTCAATAATTTGGTGATTGGAAGCAGCGTGTACCAACCCAAGGATGAACACAAAGCTACATGGATTTTGCCTAATGAACACACCACAAACCAGAGAAACTTCATTTCAGTGATGCTCAAGAAAGTGGAGACACAGCAGTCCTGAAGAATACGACGCCGAGAAGGGGAGCAGATGTGGACTCAGACCATCATCACCTATTTCAAGGAACCTTCAAGGTGAAGCTGATTTCCTTGAAAACAACTGGAGACAGGCCACAATTCAGAAACTGAAGGACAAAACTACAGGGGATGCCTTCACTACAGATCGTACCAGGGCAAACTTGGAGACACTACGTGGCAGCACTGAGGGAACCTGTGGAGGAACATTGGAACTGTCTTCGTGAAGGTGATGTTCAAGGAAACATGTACAACTGTTCTAGGAAGAGAGGAGAGAGATGACAAGGAATGAATCTCAACGGACACCTACCGGGAAGATAATCGAAGAGATGATGACGGTGAAAGAGAAAATGATTCAATGAAAGATGGACAACAGGCGAAGGAAAAGCTGAGTTCGATGTACACTACACTGAATAAAAAAGTGAAGAAGAGTGCCAGGAAAGGCAAAAGGCAATTTTACGACACACTGACTGTCGACTGAAGCAGAGCAGGCAGGCCTCAGGTTAAGAAGACCTCAGAACATTCCACTAGATAAACTTGTCTCTACGCGGGAAGAGATCAATCCAGGCGAAACCTATTAAGGATGCTCAAGTGAACCTGATTGCCAAGGAGGAGAAACAAGTGAACCAATGGACTTATTACTTCGAAGGACTTGTAGCGGTAAATAATTCCCCAAAATTATTAACCACAGCAATCATCACTCAACATTGGATGCTGACCATCACTGTTTAAGTCGACTTGTTTAGCTGAAGGCTTACGGTCAAGCATCCCCGCCATTTGGTACTCCGTCGTGTCACGTGCGTGCACGATTACTAGCTAGCTAAGCATTCATCTCTACCCGCGATTTTGTCCCGAAATATCCTACGTACTTTGGACGACAAAATCTGGTCTTTTGCTTTATCTTTGGTACTCGAAGAACGAATGCTATAGAAGTTGTTGGT